CTCGATGAACCTGCGATAGTAACCAGCTAACCCGAGAAAACTGCGAACCTCGGACGAACTCCTCGGTGTCGACCAGTTCTGAACGGCTGAGACCTTGGAAGGATCCACCTCGATGCCTGCATGATTAATTACATGACCCAGAAAAGACACTCGCTGGAGCCAGAACTCGCATTTGGAGAATTTAGCGTACAACTTTTCTCGTCTGAGGGTTTCGAAAACCACCCTCAGATGCTCCTCGTGCTCCTTCTGGCTCTTCGAGTTGATAAGAATATCGTCAATAAAGACAATAACAAACTGATCGAGGTAGGGATGGAAAATACGGTTCATGAGGTCCATGAAAACTGCTGGCGCATTGCTGAGACCGAATGGCATGACGACGAACTCGTAATGGCCGTAACAAGTCCTGAAAGCGGTCTTAGCGATATCTGATTCCTTAATCTTCAACTGGTGGTAGCCTGATCGCAAATCAATCTTTGAGAACACACAGGCTCCCCTCAGCTGATCAAATAAATCGTCGATCCTGGGAAGCGGATACTTGTTCTTAATAGTCAACCGATTAAGATCCCGGTAGTCGATACACATGCGCATAGATCCGTCCTTCTTCTTAACAAAGAGAACGGGTGCTCCCCAAGGTGATACACTCGGTCGGATGAAACCGAGTCGTAACAGCTCCTGAATCTGCATCTTAAGCTCCTGCAACTCCTTTGGCGCCATGCGATATGGGGCTTTAGATACTGGACCGGCCCCTGGAATGAGATCGATAGAGAACTCCACCTGCCGGTTAGGCGGTCCTCCTGGAAGCTCGTCTGGGAACACGTCCACAAACTCGCGAACGATTGGAACATCATGAGGTGAGCGCGCTTTCTGAGAATCGTCGACAAGGCTCACCAGATAACCCTGGCAGTTGCCTCGTCGCAGTAACTTAGTGGCTTTCGCCATCGAAACAACATGAGGCAGTGAACGATTCCTGGAACCGAAGAAAGTGATCGATTCGTCTCCCGGAAGATAGAGAGTGATCTCCCGGTCACGACACCTAATGTCTGCATGATAGAAGGATAGCCAATCCATTCCGAGAATAAGGTCGAAGTCCCTCATCTCGAGAACAAACGCGTCGGCAGTCAATACTCAGCCACTGATGGAAAGGCTAAGATCTGAGGCTTTAGCTGAGGTCACTATCTTTCGTCCCGAGGCTAAACTGACCTCGAGAGGATCGACAGCGATAACGGAGTGAACTCCAATGGCATCAAGACATCGTCGTGATATGAAAGTATGTGTCGCTCCAGTATCGAATAAAGCAAACACAGGAATATCATTGAGAACAACCATCCCTGACATAGTACCTGGCTGCTGTGCTGCCTCTGCCTGATCAACCGCGTAAACCCTGGCCTGCTGCCTGCCCCTCTGCTGCTGCTGCTGCTGAGGCGGCCTCTGTGCCTGGTGACGTGGCTGCTGCTGCTGTGGTGGCTGCTGAGGCTGCTGGGGCTGCTGCTGAAGTCTCTTCGGACAGTGACTCGCAAAGTGTCCCGGCTCGTGGCAGTAGTAGCAGATGTCCTGTCCCACATGGCACTCTCCCCTGTGAAGTCGTCCGCATGTCGGGCATGGTGGAATCGGCTGCTGTCTCTGTCAGGTCCTCCGGTCAGTCTGAGCACCCTTCCCCTTCCTCTTCTTTTCCTTTGCTGACTGAGCCGCTGGTAGAGCTGGTGGAGCTGTGAATGGCTGAACTGGGGCGGATGGCTGGGCACGATCACGAACTGCCTTCCTCCTGATGCTAGCGTCCACCTCCTGGGCGATAGAGACTGCACGAGCGTAGGTCTGAGTCCCGTGTCCCACGATGTTGTGACGGACTGCTGGGAAAAGCCCGTCGATGAACCGCTGCGCTCTCTGAGCCTCCGTGCGAACCAGGTCCGGTACGAAAACTGCAAGTCTAGTGAACTCTCGCTCGTACTCATCAACCATACGAGTGCCTTGCTGGAGCGCTAAGAACTGACGCTCCATCTCTGCCTGATAGTAGGATGGGTAGTACTTTTTGCGGACTAGATCCTTGAACATGTCCCATGTACAACCCGCTTTTTCACCGGGACGCATGCTCCAGTAGGCGTTCCACCAGAGCCTAGTGAGCTGAAGCTGAGCGCAGATTACACGATATCTATCGGGGCAGTCCATGACCTCAAAGATAAATTCCAACCCCTGAATCCATTCATCAACGATGCGGGGATCTCCCTGCCCTGAGAACTTTTTAGCATGATAGTCGCGGAACTGAGCGACTACCATAGCCTGAGTAGGAGCCTGGTGATCGGGTTCCCTACGTGGCGGCATCTGAACATTGAGAAAGTTTAACATTACTGAATACATGATAACATTCTGACTGATTACTAAGGCACACAAATCTCTTGACGAGTCGCCAAAAATGGCCGATAAATACTGACGTGAATCCTGAAGGACTCTAGAGTCATATAGGAAGATCCTAATGTCTAGAGTCATATCTGAAAGTCCTGACGTCTAAAGTCATGTCCGAATTCTAAAGTCTGAACCTTATTTAAGCATCTTAACTAAAGTCCTGATCCTTAATTCTGAGCATAGACAAAGTAATATGTTTATAACTGAAAACTGAATCAGCACTTACCTGTCGTCGGCGGGGCGTGAGCATGACGGTTCAGGTTTTTCTGAAAAATTACTGACTGAAAAACTTTTCAGAGACGCAGAAACGTGCTCTGATACCAATTGTAACACCCCTCCTTATCGTAAAATCAGAGTGCGAAAATTTCGCAAAGTCTTTTAAAAATAAAACCTTTTTACTTTGCGAAAACTGATTAGGGGTGCTACCTTAAAAATCGTGACTTAATTGGAAAACCCTTAATTTTAAATTTTTATAATAAAGTCATACGGTTATTGAAAGTATAAAATTTCTTTTTTTTTTTCCAAAAGTCCGTCAAAATATAAATCCGTCAAAAGTCATCAACAACATCGTCAGCGGAAGCGTAAATCATCATAATAAATATACAGTCAAAACATAAATGTCATGAAGCCTCCGTCAGCTCATGCTCCCGGCCC